CACCGTATTGCGGATGCATCGTCTCGCTTTTTGTTATTAATTAACCTTTATTCAACACTGAAATTTTTCTTAATTGCTTCAGTATTATTATTATTTTTTAAATTTATTCATAAGAATTTTTAATTAATTAATAAATTACTTTACTACATTTGAATGAATTATCGTCGCTTACTTCCATTTTCCTAATATTTTGTAAATATTCACAAACACGCATTTATTTTTTTCAACAAGTCTCATCTTGAGTGCTAATTAATTACCCACATTTCAATAAAACGTATTGAGAATTATCTTCGTTCTTCTTATACACTCATTCGTTGTGACACCTGCCGCGAATAGCACAGCGCGGGACCTTGATATGGTCACGTGATTTGGACAAAAAAGTGCAGAATGGACCTTGGCGTTTTCCCATGTTAATTTCCATAAGGATTGCGCTCGAATTCCCCTTGCCCCTTTACTGAAATGGTATGTACATTTAAATAGTTAACCTATATAAAGTTATGTGTGCCTACAATTATTAATCGTGTTACCCTCTAACCAAGATCGTTTGTTGCATACAAACCAGAAATCTTTTATTTTAATGACATTTTTTTATTGCCTTGTTTGTATAATTTAGTATTTTCAAAAATATTAGATGTTATGGTAATTTGAATCACTACAGGTATTAAATAAAAATAAGGCTATTGGTAAATTAGTTTACAGTTGGTAATAAAGAAAGTCTCGAAATAAGTATCAAACATAAATTGTGATTTTAATTAGGCACATCCCACATATCTACATGCTCTGGCTAATCAATCTTATAAGTACATATCAAAATATTAATATACTATCTGCAATTGAACAATAATTTAAAAATACAGATGAAGCCGATTTACCTGTTTAAACAAAATTACTATTATTCTATTATTTATTAAAACACATTATTTTTTAGTAAACTTAAACATGCAAAAGCAGCCACATTAGTGAGAGCAAGAATACTTTGGAATGTGCTGTTAAATACACTTAGAAAGGGTCATATGGAGAATTAAGTGTGATAACATTTTACGATATGTATCTCACTAGTTTAGTTCATAGATTTCTATGTTCTGTGTTCATTATGTGCTGCTATTTCAAACTTTTAGTATCCTTTGATAAAAGAAGTTGAATATTATTGTTGCCCTTTTTAAATTGTTTATTTTACCTCATACATTTTTTTTCTACTCTTCATACAGTATTCTGTGAATAGTATTATAGGTTTATTTTGTCTGTATGTCTGATGTCATGTTTTTTGTCTGCACGATAAGTCAAAAACGAGAAATGATATCAACTTGAAAATTTTAAGCAAAAATCAAGCTCTATAAAGGGACAAAGCCTATTGATTTTTAACAAATCTGATTAAAAATAGGGGGTTAAGATGGGTTGAAATTAAAAAAAAAAAATCCTAAATTAATAACGAAAAGCGATATCAACATGAAATTTTTAGTAAAAATGAAGCTTTATAAGAATATAAAGCCTATTGATACTGAAAAATATAAATATATTGGGGAGTTAAGAGGGGTTAAAATATAAAAAAAAAAACTGAAAAACGAAAAATGATATAAAATGATTTTTAGCAAACATCAATCTCTAAAAGGAGAAGAAGTCCTTTAATTATAAAAAAAATCTGATTAAATATGGGGGATTTAAGGGGGGTTGAAATTAAAAAAAAAAAATAAAAAATGAAAAGCGATATCAACATGAAATTTTTAGTAAAAATCAAGCTCTAGGCCTATTGATTGTGAAAACAATCTATCTGGTGGAAAATGGGGGGTTAAGAGGCTCTGTTAAACTGCGAAGAGTATTATTTAAAATGCCAGGCATTATATATTTGTATTCTAGTTTGTGTCTGTGTAATATTATGTATAGTGATGGGACTGATCTTATAAAATAAACATTTAAAACATTTTAGTTCTTATTTTATTTGCAAATAAAAGGTATTTAAAAAATATATTTTTTATTTGACATCTGTGACAAATTGTGAAAATGATTAAACTTACAATAAAAACTAAAAAATGGTAGGTAAAGTTTCATATAAAATTTTTTGCACAAAAATCAATGTCAAGCTTTCTATATAACCTAATATATATTTAAAAATAATCTCAAATTATGAAGAAAAGTCTGTTTACTAACTAATAATGTTTATAGATGGTTTTTAACGTATTAAAAACAAAATAAATATTTTACTAGTTGTATAGTTGTAGTGCTTGAAAACAGTATGATATTGATAATAATAACTACATTTAATACAAACTCAAATAATAAAAAAAAACAGCGATATTGACTCTTATACAAAGTTTTGATCTGAACTTACAAATGATAAAATTATTGGAAAAAACACCCATTTTAAATTATCACGAGCCGCCACTGCTTGTCAAAAGTATATACTAAACTCAAGTTTGTGTTAAATATTTGAAGCTAAACTGAACAAATCAAATGATTTTAGTGCAGAAAACTTACACCTACTGCAACAAATAAAATCCACTATAAAATGGCAGAAAACTAGGTCCGGATTTATACGTTTTCACTTCTACTATTTTTGGTTAAATAAATCTGATTTGAATTCGAAAAACTTAATTGCCTTTAAATATATTGTTTACTTTTCAGTTTTTTTATTAAAAGTTATTGAACGAAAATCAATCTTATTAATTTAGGTTTATCAATGAACTAAACGTATCTTTACTCTAGCAATATATTTATAAAAGTTAAAAACAAAATATAATTAACTATGTCATTCTTCACCAACTTAGCGTATTGAGATGATATGAAGAAGATGCTGTGAGGATACTAAAAAGTGTCCGCATCTTTGCATTACACTTTAACGTCATGTGTCAAACTCAAGCTAGTCAGTTTTGGTGAGAATAAATGTCATTTTTTTTAAATTGCTTCATTTAAATAATATAAAAACATTTTCATTCCCACAATCTTCAAACATAAAATTAGTGACTTCAGATAAATCAAAGTACGACTTTAAGTCACCATTTTGATTGCACTTTTCAATCACTTGAAGTGCGTCCATGTGTCATATCGCAAAATAGTGTTAATGTCATCTCTATTTCATTATATCTAGATGGTATAGACCACAGAGCACATAGAGGTTCCACGTGAATGACCAGGGTCAAAACCGATAACTGACATTTCTTATGTTATTGACTCCAAACACTAGATGGTGCTACTGGTGAAATTTTTATGGGTGAAAAACTTAACCAAAGAATCCAAAGATGTGACGTGTATTTATGTTTTTGATTATTCTCATTGTTCCATCTAATTTTAGTGAGTTTTTTGTTGGCTTTGGCTTTTGGTTTCTGTTTATAGTTTCTTCTTAGCTATTTGCAAAACTGTGAAGTTTTGTTTTTCTATATCCTACTGTGTTTTGCAATAATTTTGGTGCTACGTTGGAAACTTGCAAGAAAAACTTCATTGATTCATCATGCATCATAAAAAGACAAACGGGTACAATTAATTGATAATTTATCACTGGACTAGATTCCGAAATCATTTTTCACATAAGAGTATACAATTTGTATTTGGAAAAAATATTTATCAGTGAATGAATAGTTAAAAGGATTCACCTTTTATATTTTACATTTATCCTCAGGTAAAAAGACATTTATAAAATATAACTTAAGTGTTAATAAAATGTAATATCCCATTCTCTACTTCACATTTAAATATATTGACATTTTAAAGATTTGAGATTGTAGGTATATTTGCTCCAAGTAAGTATTATTCGTTAAATATGTAGGTATTATACTTTGTATTTATTTAGTAATATTTATATAAGTTATTAATAAACATATTTTAAGAATGTTCTATTTATTATTTATTGATATATTTTATATTTATTTAATATTAATATGCAAAACTCTCCAAATTAGACCCATTATAGCAAATTAATTCCTTAAATTTGGCATATCGACCTAAAGTATTTTGTAACATAAAAGTTTCGAACTTACTAGTTCCATACTTTATTTTATAAAATAATTTATATGGAAATCATTTAAAATTTAATTTAGAACTACTACTAAAAATTATAATTTTGAATTTACCGCGATCTGCTAATTGTCATTTTAGTTCCCGCTCCAAACACAAAGTGGCGCTAATTTGGATTAAAAGTTTAACATAAGCGTGGGGTCTCTAGAGAATACGTGCTTTGTGGTATAGAACATACACATTTGTTTCGTAAACGCTAATAATTTGTATTTGTTTTTCAAAATTTTAAAACAGTTGGTGACATCAGAGTGACATTTTATCTACTGTCGTTTGAAAAACATCTAGAAATACAGTGTTGCCAGATCAATTCAAACACGTCAATCGTCTTTTTTACCTTTAAGCAATGTTGTTTAGGACCATCAAAAATTGTATAAAACTAATTATTTAAAAATGGTCAAGATCTTCTTCCTCGTCCTCATTCTGAATAGATATTAACATTTTCTAAATTGTAAGGATTATACCATTTTCCCGTCAATTTGAAACATTTTTCAACTCGACAAGCATTGACAAGTTAACAGTGTTTGTTAAACATGTATCGAGCCATGAACTATTTTCAATTATTCTCAGGCTTATCGGCAAGGCTGTATGGCCTAGACACATAAAGCCTGGAGTTATTGCCACTGTCATTCCTGTCAAAATCATTTAACTTACTGTGTTTGGCAACCCCGCATTTATAGAAATAGAAATATCAATTGTCAAAAATTGTCCATAAACAAAAATTATTTCATAATAATCCTATTTTAAAAATTTAACAACCAAAAAGTAAAAAATTATATTTATGAATGTTTGTTGTTGTAATTTGTACAATAAAAAATCAGTTGAAATTATTTAATTCACATTTTGTTTATGGTCGAGACTGGACAGCAGATTTTGATGATTTTAGGGCAAAAAAATAAAAATGTTAATTGTCGGACCCAAAATAGTTATTGTAGTGTATTTCAAAGAAAACTTTCTTGTTTCAAGGTATATTATCCAAGTATTTAGGTTATACTTACGAGCTTGTAACGCCGTAAAATGCTCCAGTCTCATCTTGTATATTAGAATTTAAATCCGCCCAGAATTTAACAAGGAAGAACGCGTTCTGTGGTCCTTTGTCGTACAGTTCTTTCAGTCCACCTTTCTTCTCCGGGAATTTATCGTATATTTGTCGAACGTCCACCGCTTCCAAAAGGGGATCTGAGTACGAGAGTGTTGGCCCTCCTATGTGTACGAACAGGTGTTTCTGATACTAAAAAAAAAAAGAAACGAATTAGAATATTATTAAAAAAAATGTATAATACTGCAGATATATATTTCCACTCTAATTTATTTATTGAATTTTATCAATTAAGTTCAGTGACGTAGCTAGATTAAGTGGCGGTGGATATCAGACCCAAAACTCGCCCCTAAAGGAGGGGGACAATCAAACCCAATAAGAAGTAAAAGGAAAATTTTTAAAAGAAAAATAATCTCAGAGAAATATAAATATATACATAGCCGTTAAGGTGATTACAGTACTCCTTATAATTTTCGAACAAGCATATCTCAAAATGTAATTTTTTTAAAAAATTAATATTTTGGAAAAATCATTAAGGCAATAATATCTACAATATGCATATATTTTTAAGTTTTAGTTCCTTTCAGTTTCCAAGAAAAAAAAATCAAAGGGCTTTAAATTTTGAAATATAATGAAAATAAATGCATTCCTCAACAGCACTATTTTTAATATAATCCCCAAATTTAAGCTCTTAAGAGGAAAATTTACATTACAAACTGAAAGACCTGCGGGGCAACGGTAGTTTAGTAGGTATAAAAATTACAACTTTAGGGTGGAGCCTAAATACTACAAAATTACTTCAGAGACTAAACAAAATCCGCATTCATTCATAATTTTAACAATTGCCTGTAGATACGAGGGATACGTATTCCAAACTCTAACGAGCGAAATTAAGACAAAGGAACCGAAAAATCCTAACACGGAGTGAGTCAGAGTTACCTAAATTAGGGGAACCAGGATCGTATTTGACGGTATTTGCTTTTCTCCGTGCATTGCGAGATATTGTTATAACGCAGTTCGATTTATTAGAGGGTTTTACATTATTTTTATATTTTAATTTAGTGAATAGATTTAGTTAGATTAAATTACATTTAAGAGTATAGAGGTGTAAAATATAAATACAAATAACGAAAAAATAGACGATTGGTTCGAATAAGGTAATATCAATTAATACAGGGTATTTATTAATTGAGTGCCGATACTTAAGGGTGTGAATCCGTTGGGTGTTAAAGTTAAAAAAAAAAAATAACTATTTTATCATAAGTTTCTTATCACTCTAGATATTTTTATGAAATTTTTCCCAAAAAAAGTGTTTCCACTCATGGTGGGTTCCTACCTAATTTCAACAAAATATCAAAAGCAGTTTCAATATACTGGTTTTCATTTTCTTACCCGAAAAGGGTGCTTCGTACGAAAGTACGTCATAAACCAAATTTGCTCCAAAATATATAAGAATTTTAAAGATAATTTTGGTTTTTAGAAAAAGCAGTGGCGCACCATATTTTTTTTCAAAAATATTCAGTTCAAACCCGGCACGGACGTCACTGGTAAAAATTTAAAAGTCTTTTACGACAAAAGGCGAGGTTGAAGTTTAGTCTGTTGGTACATAATATACTATATTTATATATCTAATTTTTATTATTACACTGAATGTGACATGGTTTTTTTGCCTTTTTTGGATCAACAAAATATTATTTTGTTGATTTAAAATAAACTGCCAGTAATAATAATAATTATCTGTACGTAAACATATGCAAAAAAAAATCATAAAACGACGCATCAAGAAAGCACCAAATTATTAAACTTTTAATTTACGTAAGATGTATTGAAAGTAATTTTAAAAAACCGACTTTAAAATCGTGCAGATGCCATCACCACATCTGAACCAAATTTATATGGGACCACCCCTGAGGTACCCCCTTACTAACGAAAAGAATTATAGAAATCGGACGAGGTGGTAAAGAATTATTGCTAAACATACATAAAAAATGAAAAGTTTGAGGATTTTCCCATTGACCCAATTATTAGATTTTGACCAAATTTATATAGGTCCATCCCGGAAGTACCCCCTTTCCAGCAAAAAAGAATCATTTAAATCGGACTTTGTGTTAAAGAATTATCGCTGAACATACATAAAAAAATATACAGACGAATTGAGAACCTCCTCCTTTTTGAAGTAGGTTAAAAAGGATATAATAATCAATATTATTTGTAATAACTAAAAAACTACTATGTGGAGTTATATACATCTTCTTAAATTAATCTTATATGTAAAAATGTGGGTTCGGTTCCTAGAAGAATACCTAGTTCACTGTGCAGCCAAATTTATATTTATGGTACAGAATTTTTTGAATAAATAAAGTTTTAGGTTTAATTAAACACTAAGTTTTATCAGGAATAACATTTTCTGAAAAAACCAACATAAAAAGCAGACTTTTTGCGAGCCACTATATATATTTTAGAGGACAATCCATATTATTTTAGAAAAATAAATTAAAGTTTTGTATAATCACATAAATGTGATTTATCTTTTAGAATATTGTATATGTTTGTCAAAGTTAACTAATTAAAAAAAAAAAGAAATATTCTTCAAAAATTTTCTTAAATTTTTTAACACGGTACAAAATACCTTAATCCGTTTATAGTTATCGAAATTAGTAAAGAATTTTAACTCGTTTAAAAAGCGTTCTTTCTCTTTCCATTTCCTATAAAAACTAATAGACCTTTTTGAAATCGGTATTCGGTGACTTTTCTTCTGTTTTATTGCCTTGAAAATGATATGATTTACATAAAAAACAAAAACTGACTTATTATTTTTGTGAAATAAAAATATGTTGTTATTTTCACAATTTTTGACTACTTTTCGTTTCTAAAAAATAAGTACGATGTTCTTCTTTGGATATTAACACATTGTTTAATTGGCTTTTTATTTTTTTTTTAAATATTCTTTAGTATTTTCATAATTTGGGAAACAGTATAGCATTGAAATTGTGAGTACGCTTTTAATTAATTGTCTGCTTTTTTATCTCACAATGTGTCGATAAGAAGTTATATAGAAAAAGTTAGTATTCAATATCATCCAGACAAAAAACAAAAACATGTTTAAATGAATATTTTAAATAAATTATGAGTATTCTTTAACAGAGATATATTTATTTGTATTATGGAAATAATGTTTATGTCAACAAACTTATGTTCGATATTTGTATCAATTTGTAAAAATAACTCTTGTATAATGATAATATTAAATTTAAAGGTTTTAAATAAGGAATGAAAGCATTAGTTTCTGTTTTTCAGTTAAGCTCCATAAATTCATATTTTAATCTGAACGCTACTTAAGCGCAGTAAAGTTGCAACAACTAAACAATATAGGGAACTTTTCGAAAATTTCTAAGTTAAAATTAAAATCAATTTATATTTAAAATTAAATAAGTTAACTAACATTTTTGACCGTTATGAAGTTAATAACGTTATAAATAACGTTACAAAGATTTATGTTTGAATTTTAAATTTATATTGATCATAGTTACTCATCTACGTATTACAATAACAATACCTACATGACTTGGCTTTGACACAAAACCCTGTATAGTAAAACTTCTAATCCGAATCAAAATCTTGAAACTATTATTTGGGGACTTAAAAGCGTGGTCCACTAGTTGGTGAAGCCTTTTAAAACATTTGGTGTAATAATAATTATATTCCTATCATCAATTACCACTGCCACTGGTAAAATCCTAAATTTAAAATAGTGTAATATAATAATAAGACATTAATCATATCTTAAATGGACCGCCTACTACCATGTTTTAGAAATAAATAAAATGTAAATTAATAAAAATATTCAAAATAATTTAAGATTCCTTGCGTTATGTTAATAAACATTAAACAAAATTTCTCACGAATTATTTAATATTCTGTCTCGTACTTCCATGTCTCTATTGCTTCGCTGTCAACAAGTTCCGGCAAGACATATTGCATATAAAAAATTTTAATTTTATTTTGTATCTTTTCTTCTCAAAAGCTGTCAATATGAGATATTTTCTCCACTTCTATTCCTCCAGAAGTCCAAAAGCACAAAATGCAAAAATCCATTTGTGTTATGTGCAGCTAGCCCTGAATTTGAAAATACCAATAGTGGTTCTCCTTAATGGAATTGTTCTTTTTCCAAAAAGTTATTTCTCTACTGCATATTTCTTCTGCTACAATCCGCACTTCAGCTCCATATGGACATTTTAACTCTATCATAGAGTTTTGTTTTTTTTTTTTAATTCCATCCAGACTGGCAGCAACATAATCAAATTCGAATTCAATAAAATGTCCACATTTAAAAACTTCTACTTGCAAATAAATTTCCAAATCTTATTTTGTTTTGAATTTATGATCCATGCCATATCGGGTGGCTTTAGAAATAAATAAAAGATTTTACGAGATTTTTTACAAATTTCTCCAAATTTTAAAGCAGTGACTCGTTTCCGTCTTCTATTGTGCCACAATGCACAATCAGCTTGTCACAATCGTTTTTCTCATTTATAGACATTGGCTGACTTTTTAGAAAATGTTCTCCTGCAGCGCGCCTCAAAGGGTGCGACAAATCAAAGCCATGCGCGAAAGCAAGAAAAAATATTTACATTACTTTAACGGATTGAAGAGATATTAACATGCTGGAATTAATAATTATTGTTGACCCGAAGAAGTATTCATTAAACAAAAACATATAATTCACATCTCAGTGTATACCTTCAAATTTCGTATATATATATATATATATATATATATATATATATATATATATATATATCCCACCTACGTTTTTGCGTCAATACATTATGTCTTTTGCATGTATTTCTGCGTCAACCGCGTTGTTGCGTCAATATATTGACGCAGAATTACAAACGCGTGCAACTCAGTGACGAACGATGGTTAATTGTTCTTTTTGATACCAGGTTGAAGTCATAACTGTATAGAAAAATAGGTTCAATTGACATCCGCCCAAAAACTTTTTTAACTCTCTTATTACAATTTTTATGATGACGCAGCAACTGCGCTAGCATGATTCTTCAATGCATATTTAGTTCGAAAAAAAATAATGTGGTGGCGCTCCGCCGAGCCGTGAATATAAGGGTAATGGGTATTATTTTCATTCACTCGATTATTCTGCGTCACGTTAGTCTGGCAATACCCGGCAACAC